AATAATTGTTACCCTTAAAATTTGTTTGTTGATTTTATATATAATATAATGGTTATAAATCACACAAATCAAGTAAATATTTAAACAATTTAATTTATAAATATTTTACATAGTTTTTATATACGTATACAGACAGTAGTACCAAATCTGAAAATTTTTTTGATATAATTGATGATAGTTTGAAAAAACCCGATTTATACCAAAAAATACGTTTTATTCGACGTGAAAGTTCCTTGTAATTATTTCACGGTCAACAAAATTGTGTTTGGTAATTTATTTGGTTAGATATTGTTTCGTTAAATTAGTTTATTATATAATTTAAATGTAAGAATTGAAATGAACAATTCATATATATATATATATATATATATATATTGGTATTACAATTATAAGGTAGTCATACATTATTATAGGAACTCCTAATTCTCTGACTGACATATATAGCCTTTTTCATCATATTTCTTTTTCTAACCAAACAGTTATTTACAGTTATAATGGTGGTTTGAGAATATGAAGATAATTAAAATAGTTACACTTATTTTATTTTATCAAACAGACAAACGTATTCACAAAATAGAATAGTAACGAGTCGAGTTAATTCAAGTTGTAATTTAATTGAGCTCATGTCAGAAAAAATATTACCAGGCTTGCACTGGACTTGAGCTATAATAATTTTTTCATCGTAGGGCTTGAGATCGATTAGTTCGTTTATTGGCTTGACTTTAGTAAAAAACTATCAGCAAATCACAAGTCTTAATGTTTCGTATATTTTATATCGCGCTACTGAAAATAAATTTACCCCAATTGGGGGTGGATTGTGAAATGTCGTATGGGTTGGATAGAGAAACAAATGCTGATTTATAAGATACTGTATATCTCATATATCATACATGCTTTAAAAATGTGAATATAGATGTACGGGGTTGTTTGTTTACCTTTTAATAGTTCCATTAAAAGGTAACATATGAATCGTTAAGAGGTGTCTTGTTTGGCAAAAAAAAAAATTATCTTTTAATGGTCCAAAAATCTTATGAATGATTTTGTATCGTAGGTATTTTTAACCATTCAGTGCCTTAATTTCATTATAAGCAATTACCATACAATTATATTTCATTTTGCACTATATCATAAGAGCATCTTAATTATTCTGACCACTTAATCATTCTGCATCAAATCATTCAACAACTGCCATACAGTTGAGTTATTTTGCACCGAATCATTCATTTTGCACAATATCTGATACAGTTAAGTTACAAAAACAAAGTATACTACATCTTAAAACAATTTATCATATACATAGAAACTTGTTAGGAATCGAGTTATGGATATTCGAACATGGAATAACATAAAAAAAAAATCAACCAAACTGGTTTTAAACATGATTTCTACGCAATAAACGCATATTTTCAAAACAAAACACGACATTTGATAAAAGAATAACAATTAAAGTATATGTATATACTCGAACTGCTTGATAAACAAGACGAAAATAACACATATAGTAAACTAAACCATAGCAACGTTAAAAGTATAAGTTTAAGGGGTTGTTTGACAGTTGCTGAATGATTTGATGCATAAATTAAATGATCAAAATGATTAAGAGACTCTCATGATATATTGCAGAATGAAATATAATTATTTGACAATTGTTTACAATGAAATTAGGGCGTTGGATTGTTTAAAGGTGTCCATGATACAAAATCATTCAGATGATTTTAGAACCATTAAGAGATGGATTTTTTTTGCTAGACAAAAATCATCTCATAACGATTCAGAGACTGTCTCTTAATAGAACTATTAAAATGTAAACAAACAACCCCTTAACTTATAGATAACTCGACCACCGTTTAATGAAGTTGATGCAAGTGGATCTAACTTTATCATTAATTACATTTTTAATTGAATTTAATAAAACAACTAGTTTTCTTAAAATGCATTAAATCCAAATAAATAATTGGTTTTAATTGTTTTTAGCAAAAATAAATTAAATTAAATGCTTATATTCAATTTGAATGAAGTTGATAAATGACTACACTTAATATTTATTATTCTTAAATCAATGAAATTAATCATGTGTATATTTCAACTACATTTTTATGTTTATTTATTATATTTATATCTTTAATTAAATATTATTGATTACTTTTCCATTTTTTTATCATTATTTTAATGAACTAGTTTTAAGGATTAATAATAATAATAATAATAATAATATCTAAAAGTAAAAAAAAATCAGCTTCAAAATGGTAGTTTTCAATTTAATACACTTTTAAATATTGTTAATGTTTATTTAATTACAAAATCAAATATTTTTAAATTAATTTAAAGAAAACTAGTAACTAGAAAAAGTGATTGTGTATATTTTCAGAATTGCAAATTGTACGAAAAAAGTAACGTACTTTAACTTGATTCTTATTTTGGATAACGTAATTTCAAAACTTTCATTTTGGTACATAATATGTAAAATTTTAAATATTTAAGTAACCGAGTAAACGGTTGAAGCATTAACCGGTTATCATGCTGATGTGACGAGTGATGTGATATCCAACACACAACTTTCACTATTCACAAGATCTCAACGTTGCAAGGGAACAATGATTGAAGCAAATCAAATTCTAATCGATAAATTACTGGGATGATATAGATGAAAAAACAATCACGATGCTTGCAAATGAAGAGTACAAATAAGACGTTGAAGTTGTCATCCGCAAAAGAAACGGTATTTGCATTGAGGCCGTAAAGATGGACATGCTCGTTTTTCTTAACGATAGTTTATTAGCCAATCCGGTCTACACTTCATGTATTTCAAGGCTTCAAATAAACAAATAATTAACTTTCTGAATTGTACAATGGGTCATCAATAATTCATAGTATTTTTAACGAGGGTTGATCCAACCAGGGACAGACCCATAAATTTTTTAAAGCGGTGATACCATTTGACTATAAGAAAAAACTATAAGGAAAAAAAATTCAAATGTTGGCACCGTTTAACTATAAAAAACAAATATACAAATTTTTTTTCAATCGGTGACACCATTTGACTAAGAAAATAACACTAACACGATTCAAACTCGGGTCTGGGGTGGAATAAAAACTTTGTAAACGAACTATACCAAATAAAACTTGTTCTCATTGTAGTTTCAAAATACATAAGGTGACACACAACAAATTAATACGGTTGAACATTTCATGAAGCTATTTTTTTTACCTTCGACGGAATGTGCCACCGCAACCACCAAAGTAGGTCCGTCCCTGGATGCAACCAATAGAATTATACTATATCTATTTGCGAAAAAATGAATTGCCACTATTCAAGAATCAGATGACGACACATCCCTGATTGAGCAATAAGTACATAACCGTAAAAGTTTTGCCATTAAACGTCTCAATAGTTTTTATCCGTATACGATTAAAATATTCAGAGACCAATATCCGAGAAGGCCTTACGTTGATGTTTATGATATCCAAACACATGTTAAAATTGCATTATGGACACCATGTTCTTTCCTCATATGCTATGAAGTATCAATCATATGCTTTGACCATAGAAGAATTGTCTCATTGCATGGAAACACGAGAACAATGTGTCAACATTATGCTATAAGTTGTCGCTTTTCAGTACCTTTAGATTTGACATGCATATTCTGATGTCATACAGTCTAGCGATCCCATCAGTGTACCAGGTCAAACTCTACTATCCAACGACGAATTACAAAGACACTCACTACAGTTCAGTACGTCGCAGATGAAACAAAATATGCCAAGGGATATTATTGTGTTGGTTGTATTGTATATATCTGAAATGGACTGCTTTGAAGATAGCATAATATTTTATTCAATATATGAAATGTTTTAGTAATATAATCAATGTTGTAATATCTAAAACAGTGAAACCGATTAGTTAAATGTAAATCATTTTTGGAAAAAATTGTCAAAAAAGACAGATCCACCAAACTCTGTTTACTTGTCAGGACACAGTTTCACTAAATAGCCAATTTATTACGCAGAAAGCTTACACATACATAAGTAATGGTTTTTGATAACAATACAGATTATGTACATAGAAAGTTGTATCTTTACGCAAAAAGTGGTTTTCTGCGCAAGGATTATTTTTCTTTTTTTTTTGGGCAGAAAACCAATACTTACACGCATAAGTCTCTTACGTACGGATTGACTAAAAAATGAATTTTGATTAAAAAATAGCTAGAAAATGGGGCAAATTGCATGAAAAAGTAATGTAATTTAACTTAATTCATATTTTTTGTAACGTTCTTTTAAAACATTCATTTTGGTACCTATAATGTAAAGTTTTAAACATTTAAGTACCCGGGTAATTGGTTGAAACATTAACCGGTTATCATGCTGATGTGACAAGTGACGTGGTATTCAACTCATTATTATTTGTTGACGTGATTAATGACATAAATTTTTTTAATCAATCTGTTACCCGAATACTTATATATTTAAATATATTTACATTTTATGTACCAAAATGAAAGTTTTGAAAGTACATTAAAAAAAAATAAATATTAAATTAAAATATGTTATTTTTTCATACAATTTAACCTAAAATAAAAACATATACTATCTTTGGTTATTGATGTAAATTTCATTTTCATTTAGATTTTAAATTTTGATTTTGTATTTTGGTCAAATTTGGACAACCCTGTTAGAGTGCTCTTATAAAAACTGTCGCAAATGAACAAATCCAGAGTGATTTACATGTTATAATGCTTTCAGTACAAGTCACTGAAGCCATATTGTTCTGAATTTATAACTTATTTATCTGGAAAAAAGAATTACAAATTAAACTGTATATTTTCGTAATTTGACCCCAACAGCAAGGGGTATTTTGGTCAAATGAAAGGATAAAGCGGAAAATTTGAAAACGGGTGGCCGTTTGAAAGCCCTATAATAAAAACAACAAATACATTCAAAATCTCACCCATTTCAATACTTCATAGCCTCATTCTAGAGAGAGAGAGAGAGGTTAGAGAGAGAGAGAGATGACCGGAATGGTGATGCTAACTAGAGGAGCCGGCTGCGGAGGCGGTGGCGGTGGTGGTGGTGGTGGCGGTGGAGGAACAAAAGGAAGTGCTAGTGAAGAAGAACAAAATCAGTTGTCATTAGTAGCGTTATTGTTAGCAGCTCTAAGGAAATCAATGGTGGCTTGTCGTGTGGATCAACGAGATGATCAGAACTCAGGAGTAACAGCTCTACAGCAGATGGAAATCGGATGGCCGACTAATGTTCAGCATTTGACTCATGTTACTTTCGATCGATTCCATGGATTTTTAGGACTTCCTGTTGAATTCGAAGTTGAAATCCCCTGTCGTGTTCCTAGTGCCAGGTATAATTTATTTTTATTTTTTTAAATTTCATGTTCGTTTTTGTTGGATTGTTTGAATTTGTTTGGAAAAAATTCATAAATGTTACTCCATAGCTTCATTAAATGCACATGGCTTCGGATCTAGGGTTTTGAGGTTTTGATTGATGATGAGAAAGGTGTGAAGATGGTTAATATGGAATTTAATATCGTGATAAAAGTAGCAGTAAATGTTAGATTCAAGAAACTGGAACTCCTGCTGTGATTGATTGTTAAAAAATGGTAAAAATGGGAATACGAAGTTCAATAATTGTACGTTTCTATAGAAAAGTTTAAATACTCTCTATGTATTTTCATACCCGAATTGTTACATCTTTGTATATGCTTAGTATTTAATTGACTGAAAAATGTTGTTCCAATTAGGGGTGTGAATGGTTCGAGCTTTTAACGAGTTACTCGAGCTCGAGTAGCTCATCAAAAGCTCAAATCATTTACATCCCTAAATGGAACAATTATCTCGAGCCGTTGAGTAGCTCATTAAGAACTCGAATTGTTTACACCCTAAATGGAACAATTATCTCGAGATCGAGCTTAATATTTTTTGAGCTTGAGTCGACCTCGAACACAAAATGAAACTCGTTTAATTTAACGAGTCGAGCTTCATAATACTAACGTTCAACTCGGCTCGTTTGAAAACTCGATTGAATTTTTCGAGACGAGTCGAGCCATTCGAGCATATACACTTTTTCGAGCCAAACATGCTCATATATTCATTCATCATACAACAAAAATAGAAAATTCTTCTGAGCTCAAGCCGATGAAAGAGTTAATCGATCACAAGTTCAAACGCATAAACGAGCATCGACCTTGAGCCTTTAATCAAGCTCGAGCATGGGTATTAATTTTTCAAGTCCAGCTCGATTTAACCCACTACTTGACTCGACTTGGAACTTCCACTGCCAATGCATTAACAAAGAGCACAGTCTGGGTTAGAAGTCATATAGATTATAGATTCATCTAGAAAATTTCCAGCTTCATTCAACTACTGTCATTTTAAAAAATTCAACACATTCCCATTTGAAAAATATTCATTTTGTAGTATGCAAAGAAATTGTAATTCTAGTGCATTCGTCTACAGTGATAGTGTATATGTTGGTCAAAAGTTCTGATTCCACCATTGCTTCCCTAAGTTCTCTTCCCTTACAAAGCTAAGGAGTCTGCACCATGACTATCATTTTGGTATGATACTTATGAAATGAAAATCTGACATTAATCTTTTTTACGTTTTGAAGTTTGTGTATGGTTTAAATTTAGAAATGGTTTAAAGGTCTGTTTTTCGAAATTTGTGTGCTGATTGGAGTAAGGTCAACTTGGCTTTATAGAATGCATATAAAGATTGTAAGTTTTTTCCTGCTTGATCTTTCTGATCATCATCTTCATGTTTTGCAGTGTTAGCGTGTTTGGTGTCTCTGCTGAATCGATGCAGTGCTCTTATGATTCAAGAGGGAACAGTGTCCCTACGATTCTCTTGCTAATGCAGGAAAGATTGTATGCACAAGGAGGACTAAAGGTATAAATATATAAATACATATATTTTATATATACATTACATACGGGTTTAGTCATATGAGAACTCCAAATTTTGTGAGATCCGTGAAAACTTTCACGTTAAGGTTTTGTTTCACATGGTTTTTTCATCCAGGTATAGTATTTAATGTACTGATTAACATATATTTGTATCACAGAGTGTTTGTTTTATATGAATTCTGTTCATAATGTGAAACGTTTTTATGTGTATATTTTGTCTCACAAACACGCCAAAAAAGTTCATATTGTGAACCAAGTACATGTGAAACAAATATATGTAATCACTACATTAAATTCTATCCATATATGAAAAATATCAAATGAAATAGCACATGATGCGCCGTATTTAGAGATCTCATGAATTAGAGAGTTCTCAAAAGAAGGTTCTACACACACACACACATATATATATAGGGTTAGTTTCAGGGGAAAACTGCAAAAAAAATGAAAAACTAAGGAACACTCTGATAATCGTTTATATGGACGGTATGCACATGTGCATCCAAGTAATTTGTAAGCAACTTGTTTGGTATGCACACGTGCATAAAAACCAAAAAACAATTTAAATTACTTGTATGCACATGTGCATACCTTCGAGATGAATGGTTATCAGGATGTTCCTCAGTTTTTCATTTTTTTTGGGGTTTCCCCTTGAACCTCCTTCTATACACACACACATATACATCTAAATGTGAACATATGATGAAATCAGTATCTGCTGTTGCCAAGATTAATGGGGCAAAATTGGTTTTGTAGGCAGAAGGAATTTTTCGTATAAATGCGGAAAACAGCAAAGAGGAGGAGGTGAGGGACCAGCTAAACCGCGGCATGGTACCTGAAGACATTGAGGTTCATTGTTTGGCAGGTTTAATTAAAGCCTGGTTTAGAGAGCTACCCTGTGGTGTGCTTGATGGGCTTTCTCCTGAAGAAGTATTGCAGTGCAACACAGAAGAGCAGTGTTCCGAGCTCGTTAAACACCTAAAACCGACTGAGACCGCATTGCTCAACTGGGCAGTTGATCTTATGACTGATGTTGTTGAGAAAGAAGAATCCAATAAAATGAATGCCAGAAATATTGCCATGGTTTTTTCCCCAAACATGACTCAGGTAAATCCTTCTCATCTTTATGTTCATTATCATCCCATCGTTTAAATAAAAGAACAAGATACAGTTTGAATTTTTAGGTCGGTAATATTCTGAAGATTTGAATTTCCGGCGGAATGTGCATATAAAACCAAACAGGTTCTTTTATTTTCAATCCCATTAATTATGGCTCAATAGCTCTAACCAAACACCCCCTAATTGATGAGTTCTTAGACCTTAAAAGAAAACATTAAAACAATGTCCAACTTTGACAAAAACTAGACCATGATACATAGGTTGCTTACTTCTTGGTAAAGACTTGAATCCATTTCATTTTTGACCTTCTTAGGTTTATTATTTTGTGGTAGTTTTATCCTATTTACTTGATGTGGGAAGAAAACGCAGACGAAAACCTAGCGTGTCTTCCGTTTGTATCGTTTTGCATCATTTTCTGCTTTCTAGTTTTGTTTCCTTTTCTTTTATGCAAGCGGGGGATCTTCATGGAAACAATCTCTTTTGTCTTATGGGACAGAGGTAAGGTCTGCATACATCTTAACCCCCCAAAGACCCTATTTTCAAGTGGGATATACTGGATTGGGTTGGTTATAATCTCTATTTCTCCTTACAAATGGTTCAAAATTTCATCTCCATTTTTATGTCCTCATATAACTAAGACCCACAAAATGGCAATGTTAAAGGGAACATGATCCAACTAGGACTTTGTAATGATCAACTTGTTGAAGATTAAATTTTTATAGTAATTTGTTTCTTCTTTCTTTCTTTTTTTATTAGATGTCGGACCCACTAACAGCGCTAATGCACGCGGTACAAGTTATGAACTTACTCAAGACCCTGATCACGAAAACACTAAGAGAGCGTGAAGAATGCGCAACCACGGACGGAGGATGCTCACCCATGTCGTACGGGTCCGACAGGCAATCAGACGACAGTCAAGAAGAAATGGAAACCAGCTGCGAATTTACAAGACAACAACCGTCATCGGAAGATGAGAACGAGAATTACGAAGATGAAGTGGAATCGCTAAGCGAGATAGAAGAAAGCTTCTTGAAACAACTAATAGAGAACGAAAATGCCAAAGACTGTTTCAAGAAAGAACTGGGAAATCTGGTAAAGCAGCAACGGACTAGCCCGACTAGTGGATTTGATTTCCAAGAGGAGTCGTCGGTTATGACCGACGGATACGGATCGGGTGTGAGTGTGAGTCCTGAGGTTGGGACAGAAGTTGAAATGGTGAACAAGATTGTGGAATGTGTGAAGTGAATCAGGATCTGTTTTTTGTTATTTTGTAAATTATTTGGTAGGGAGATGTAAAAGTGGTTGGTGTGTTTTGGATTGTGATGTTTGACTTTTGGTAGAAGTCTGTATGGTTCAGTTGGGTGCTGAACTTGTTTGGTTTTAACAGCTGAAGATTTGTAATTTTGAGTATTTGACCATTACCCAGAAGAGGGGATAATTAATTGAGGTACTGCGTGCTGCAGTAGTACGTTTTATTTTGATAAAATGGCTTGTTAGAGGGGGATTTGGTATTATCTATACTATATTTTAAAGTATTTGATAAAAACTTTTAAAAATCATTTTTTATGTATAAAGTACCGTTAATTGATGTATATTACTTGAAATTCAAGATTACAAGTAATTAATGTATAAATACAACTTATTAAAACTCTATGTTTGAATTCATGTAACTAAATGTAGATAAACTTCTTATTTTAAATATAAAAAATCTAAAATATAATTAGGATAATCATCGAGTTCTAACAAAATACTTAATTATTATTTAATCAAAAATAAATTACTTTGTTAAACTTAAATTAAATTATAACAAAAATTGAATTAAGGAAATTACACAAAAAAAACTAGAACTTTTATATTTTCTTTTCAAAATTTTATGAAGTCTTCAATTTTATATTTTTCTCAAAACTACATAAAACCGTATTATAACATCGACAAAGTCAAAAATAAAACGAAACATTAAAATTGAGATATATTTCACTACGTTGCGTGAATACTATTCTATTATGAATAAAACTGGGGGTTTTTATTTTATACTTTTTCAAAGAGCCAAGATGAGTTTAGGTCCTCTTTTTATATGAATAAAGTGAGACGTTTTTAATAAATCAATTTAAACCGGAACTTCAAACATCGAGTGTCCATGGGTCTTCTGTTGTGGGTCGTAAGCAAAATAAATTGTTGGTAAGTGTCTTTGACCCTCATCTGTCGGAAAAGATGCCCTGTCTTGCTATGCCTCTTATTAAGTATAAAAGAGTATAAGAGCTTAGAGAGTATAAGCAAATGATTAGAATATCTCCAATGTACTTCCTACATTAGTTTCTTTAATTATCGTAAGAAGTTAAATACAAAAAAATTTACTCTTTTATATTAAATTTTATTATCTCATTCCTTACATGTAAGTTGCCCTTATAAAGATTTTACATTATTTTATTATATACATGTTTTTGTTTTATTTTATTCAAAAACGTAAAATAATATATTAATATATAGAGAGATAAATTTTACTTTGCAAATCACGTCATTTGTAAAAACCGTGCAAACCTCATTCAACCAATCATAATTTTTTATTTTGTTCAGTTTTTTGTAATATGAGAGGTTGATTAATCATTTTTCTTGTGGAATGTGTTAATCATGAATATTATCACCTTTATTATTTTAATTTTAGAGAAATACATAAAACAATTTCATAACCATATATGAAACAAATTCATCAAAAAAAGTATTATATGAAACAATTTCATAACCATATATGAAACAACTTCATCAAAAAAACTATTATATGAAAAATTTCATGAAAAAATTTCATAAGATTAAACAATGAAATTGACGGATGAAGGTGGTTTACACAGTTTGTACAAATTGAGAGAGAGAGACTGACTTAGAATCACGTAAGACTAGCCTGTTTTCGTGACACCCATGAGACCACTTTTTTACATTTGAAACTTCACAACAAAAATACTGTGAAGATTTGGTTTTTTTTCCCCAGCGTTTTGCCGTTAAATTTCAAGTGTAAAAAATTGATCTCACGAAAACAGGTTGGTCTCACGTGAACTCGAGCATAATTAGGTTATATATTATTTTATTTCTCACACTAGTTTCTATACATTTCACTCCACCACTCCTACATTAGTTTAAATGTAAGGAGTAGAGGATTGGAGAGGCTAACATTCAAATTATTCGATAAGAAGCAATTTCTAATTTATATTACATCATTTGGCTAAAATGAAATTGTCGATTTGATGATGGTTCAAAGTACATACAATCTCATAAAAAGAGTTTTCGAATTAATATATTAAAATATAAAAATACAAAAAAGTATCGACCAATCTTTGATGTGTTAGGTTTGTAGGACTTGGAATGTAATTGAATTCCATTGTTTATAGATAATTTATAAAAAAGAAAATGTTGCAGTCGTAATGGGACACATAAAATCGAGAATAAAAGGCACCAGGACCAGGTCCTCTCCCTTCAACCACGCTAGGACATTGCTATCCTATCTGTCAGCTATCTACCCCGCCCCCATCTACAGTAGCTACCAGTCCCTATCCCTATAAAACGCTACCCTAAGTCCGCGTCTTCAAAACCACCTATCATAAGTCATGTCCTCAGAAATGTCTAATGCCACCGTTTACGTCATCTAGTCATCAACCATCTATGAATGTTATGTTCAAAGAAGGTGGTCAAAACCAGTATATTAGAAGTATTGCTATTGCCTATCTAAACTTAATAATGCACATGATTTCAAGGCACAAAAAGTCACATAGCCTATAGAATTGTATACACTTTTTTAAGGAAAAGCTTTTCAATTAAGCATGCACTTCAATAATAGAAAAAAGTAGAAGCAACTAACTATGCAAGGTCAATCATTAATGAAGAAAAGAAATTTGAGGAAAATGACACTTTTTGACCGACTAAATTTACCTCTTAGTCATTTCTCTCCCATTTTTTCAACAAAATCAGCACCTCTGCAAGTAACCATTCCTCAACTTGCGAAAGGGTTAAAAAATAAAAAAATGAAGAGATTTATGAACATGGTCCGCAAGTAGCACATCCGCAACAGGGATCAAATCTGTAAATTAGTCTAAATACTTCCTCAACTTGAAGTGCTATTTGTGGACCCGTTCAGAAAATTGGTTTTATTTTTAATTTTGGCCCCTCAGCAAGTTGAGGAAGTGTTGGTGATTTTGTTGAAAAAGTGGGAGAGAAATGGCTAACGGGTAAAATTTTCTCGGCCAAAATGACTACTTTTGTTAATTTCCCTCGCCCAAAGTTATGTAGCAAGTAGGGGGGCAGAAGAGGATTGAAGTTAACTGTTGTTATTTACAGGGAATAAGAAAATCCAACTGAAATGAGGAAACAAGAAGCATAGAAAGTTTGTCATACTTGCCTTTGGTACTCCGGAGAAGCAGATCTTAATGGAACCTATATTTGCTCAATGGATATAACCACGATAGAACTCTGAATCGAGTTGCAAGTAAAACGGTAAACATAAAAAAACACCAGTGTTTCTAGTTGAAGTTGTTGATGAATACATCTAAAAAGAAGGTGAAAGCATTATCAAATGCACCTAATGCCTCAGACTCCAACATGATAGAATTATAGTGCAATTGTAACTTTTTCTGAGATCATGGTAAAGTACAGAACTAACGCTGTGTTCTCGAAACCTTTTTAACCCTCCCCCTTTTACCAAGACTACAAAATGTTCTTGTGAATTATGGCCAACGAAGGGAAGGGAAGGAAAGGAGAAAAGAAACTCGTGTTTTTGAAACTTTTTTAAAAGAAAAAGGAAATGAAAAATTTTCCTTCCAAATTTGGGAGGAAAGGAAAGGAAAGAAATTAAGACCGCTCAAAAAGATTATTAAAATTACAAAACTACGCAACCTTTCATTGTGAGGGATATATTTTTAAAGGGTATATTTGTAAAAGTGACATCTTTCCTTTCCTTTCCTCTCCTATTCAAGAACATCAAAAATTAATTTCTTTCTTTCCCTTTCGGGAACAAAAATAAACAAAGTTATTTCCTTTCCTTTCCATCCATCCATTTCCTCTCTCCAAATTCGAGAACACAGCCTAATGAAGGAAAGTGAAAAAGAACAAACCAAATGGGGCAAAATGATTTTCTGAAGAATTATTTAATGAAGAAACAATACTGATGCAGCTTTAGCTTTTAGCTATAGTTACCAGATATCACTGTATATTGACCATCTCATTCCAATACAGTTGATAACCAGCCATTCATTAGTTGATGTAGTGACCTGGCCGCCTGGAACCTGGTCAAGATGGTGAGGATCTGGTCACATTAAGCAACTGTTGGAGAGAATGCATCCAATGGACAGAGATCTCTTTGACCTATGTACAAAAGAGAAGCAGTATGAAGGATAAATTCAGCAGATACCTTGAACTTGCTGTTTTTGTTAATTGTAAATCCTGCCAAGTGCCAACCCTATAATTTTTTTGGCAACTAATCATTAATTATCAAGATTACACTTAATGGATTTATCGTGACTAAATTGACATGTAGTAAAAGTTTGTAGTTTTTTGTTAAGTAAAGTTATTCAACACACAACTAAGGGCCTGTTTGTTAGCAGCTTAATAAGCTTAATGGGACTCACAGCTTATTCGGTCAACTATACATGGTTGTTTGGTAGTGGCTGAATGATATAGAAAGTGACTTATCCAGTAAGCTTCTAGGAGGGAGGTTTATGCAGAAAGTCAGGTTTTTCCAAACGTGGTTCTCCCAATTAAATAACACGCACCTTCTATCTATGAAAAAACCCGCCCAACAAAAATCTTCCAAATCCACACAGACAGCTTTATCCATATAGGATTTAACGCAAAACCAACCAAACAGCCCCTAAAAGAGGTATATAAGTTAAGGGTCAGGTCCACGGGAAAACCGCAAAAAAAATGAAAAACTGAAGAACATACTGGTAACCATTCATCTGTACAGTATGCACATGTGCATAGATACCAAGAAACAACTTCAATTACTTGTATGCACATGCGTACATTGTACAGATGAATGGTTACCAGGGTATTCCTTTGTTTTTCATTTTTTTGGGTTTTCCCTGAACCTCCCTCTACTGGTTAATATGACATAAGATGTCATTGGTAGAAGTTGATAGACTTATCAGTTAATTGAAATGAGTGTACCTGATTGCAGCACTTTACTGTTTGGAACCTGTTCGAGGTTTTCATGCAAGAAGTTCCATTTCCCCCTCATAGCAATTCCTTTTTTCCTTCTACATCAAGTGACGGGATTGAACCCTTAATTTTCCAACAGATGCCATTTACTGCACTCAACCCCATCCTTATATATATATATATATATATATATCAAAAAATATCACCATAGGATCAAAGTCATAACTGAAGATAGATAGAGGAATCAAAATTAAATCTTATAGGAAGACGAAAAAATGTTCTTAAAATAACCTTTTGAAACACTATACTACAAACAATGCCGTAGAGGAAAGAATCGATATATTGAAAGTCAATGACTAAATGAATTAATATGTTACACAATTACAGATTACAGAGGCACACAATTTTAACAAAGTATTACAAGTGTCAGGGCTTTGGCTACAAGTGGGATGGGATAGCATGCACCGTCAATAGAGTTCTGCAGCCTTCCATAGCTTACCATCAAATCAATAAGCTTTATTTTGTTTGTTGTCTCTTTTAAGTTGAACCTTCAATTTTTTACCACCTAACTGGTATCCATTCATCGTATTAATTGCTGATTGAGCAGCAGTTGGGGAGTCATAACTGACGAAACCTGATAACATGCGACTAATTAGAGGCAGAAGTGAAGTCATTGTTGGAATGAAATATATTGAAGTCCATACCGAAGCACTTGCTAACACCAGTTGCCTTGTCGACAAAAACCTTGGAACTCAAGACCCTTCCAAATGCTTGAAAGGCATTTGCGAGCTCCTCGTCGCCAAATTCTTGAGGAATATGATAAATAAACAGATTAGCACCAGGTGGACCTGCATTGAAACAGATTACTTAAATATACAATAATAATGTAACCACAAGGGTGGTGGTGTAGTGGTTGAGGTCCTGGGGGATGTGGTGGAATATCCCATCTGCCCAGGGTTGGATTCCAGACATACACAACAATTGTGGCCACTATGTTTATTAGGGCTGATTTCTTGCAGTCATAATTTGCCGGGATTAGTCCAGGCATAGCCTGGGACACCCTAACAAAAAAATGATAAGTGAATTTAAAAGAAACATCATAAGCACACAAACAGTCAAGTGAGGGAAGTGATCGACATAAAAGATCTTGAACAACCTTCAACATGATCGGTGGCACTTGCGCTGACGGTTGAAGATGTTGCAATATGATTCTTTGCAACTTCTGGTGGTACTGGGCTAGGAGGACCACTGAAAGGCCTCATTCCACCAGGGTATGCCAGAGGATACTGAACCCTTGGCATGGCTGGATAAGCAGATCCCATATAACCGGCTGGGGGAACTGCATAGTTTCTTGGAGATCCTCCTCGTAATGCATTTGCTTGGTTTGGAGACAGGTTGGTGAACGGGGGTTGATTCTGCATCGGGGGAAGGCGATACTGCATGAGCCCATAAGTTCCAGTAGCCTACTTACAAAATCAACTCTTAATCTGTTAATCACATGGTGCCTTTAATGCCAAATGGCAATAGCAACAAAAAAAGAGCACACATGAAAGAAACGAAAACATGATAAGGAGTACCAGTATGCACACGAGAAACTGTATGCTACCAAAAATATTGACCTTACTACAACAATGAAAAAGTGATGCAATGACTATGATGAAACAAACCTGATACCCATAGCCATTATATGGTGACATATAACCCATTGGAAGTGCTCCGAATAAAGATGGATGTTGTGTCGGGTCAACATTTGCTAAAGTAGAAGCCAGCGATTGAGCTTTCTGAGCCTTTCTAGCTTGCCTTTCCTTTTCGGTGTCTGCCCATTTAACAACCAAAGGGACAGTTGAACCCTAATACAGAGAAAAGTAACGAGATTACAACTACACAAACCAACCCCAGTTACACATCAGCATAGAACTTTTCTACTATCTATAGAAGAAAAAGGGAAAACAATCACTACAGAAAAGAGATTAAATGACCTAAAGGTTGGTTATAAATGGCAAACAAAACTTATCCTTGCTAAGTGTTAAATTCAGAAGCATGATTCGCCCCAAAGAAACATAGGCTCAAGAACAACAAACTAGTAAACTAAAATCATGTACAAGTTAAACATAGTCCTCTATTGAATCTAATGTCTAGAGATATGGTAGATAAAAACCTCCAATGTACTTTCTAAGAAGGATATTTTAATATCAAGTGAAACTAGCACATATACAAACCTCCATCTTGTGTTTTCCATTAAGGTCCTCTATAGCAGCAACAGCTTGTTCTTTTGTCTCGTACTTCACAAAAGCGCAACCTGCCAGAATGGTGATTCTAAAACATGAAATGGGTCCCCAGAAGGAGGTAACAGACATGATATTTGCACTAATGAATCAAGGGCCAGAAAATATCATATGCACCTTTGCTCGTTTGTTGAGAACCTCTAAGAATTTGCAAGTCTTTTAAGGTTCCATATTGTGAAAATAATGCTGAAACTTCACCTTCCGAAACATTCTTAGGAAGCATACCAATGAAAAGTTTGTGTTCTTGAGCAAAAGGTCAAGAGAAATAAAAAAGCTAGTCAGACAATTTAATATTAGATAATCAAATAGGCAAGAGATACAAAGCAGAAAATAGAAATCTTCAATATATCAATGAAATAGCATGGCATACCTAGCCGTTCCAACTCGCCATCAGCGTATTTCACTTGCAATGGACTAGATGCCTAATGTATAACATAAGACATACCTCATTAAATCAAGAAAAGCAATGTCATGTGTTACATTCGAGGAATAGAACTCCCACTCATGTGTGCAAGGTGAGATTATGAGAAATTTATCGATGTCAATAGAAAGAAGCAAGACACATTTGGTTTTTATAAATGTGCATTAACCTAATTAGCAAATCAAAACCTTGGCATGATATCATTGGTTGATTTAAATAATTTTATAGCCTTATCTAACCCTATAAAAACAAAATAACCAATATGTGATGGGAAAGTCAACATTTTGAACAGTTGGTAAGGAGAACATACTCATCATCTGAGGTAGACTCGATGATAACAAGTATTGGCGGAATCAAGAACAAATAGCCCCAAATGCAGGAAAAAAGTGTGACCCATGATAAAGAACAAATCTTATTCACATTTCCAAGATCATACCCAAAAAAATCCAAAATAAGGTTAAAGAAGTTGGAAGTTACTGGCCATTTAAAATCATAGTCATGTCTTTTTTTAAAATTAATACTAAGCTGTTATTTCCCATAATTTAGTCTAGATGGATTAATGGGGGGATAATAAGTAGTACCAATCCCTCAATTTATGTGCACTTATTGTAGTAGTTTATGTTGATGAAATGTCATTATTCTAATAACTATCATATTATACTGCTAAATATTAGTTATAATATATCTTTCGAAATAATTGATGTCGTGCCTTGCAAGAGACATGAACTAGTTAACTTTAAATGAGTGTCTCAAAGCGAGGATGATGTCCAGTAAAGCAAGTTGCTCCAGTACGCCTAGTTTGTCTATGATAACTTTACTGAACTTTATGTTTTTGTTTCTTTAAAATAAGTAAAGAAAAAGTAATAGAAACCTCACTTTAAACATGAAACCATGCATTTGAGTACATCTCGGCATGAGAAAAACAAGTTAAATCAAGATGAAACCTCACTCCCACACATAAATAGTAGTTCTCTTGTTGGATTTGCATTTTACCCCCTCAATCCTCATCAGTAGTTTCTCATTAATTTCACTGTAGCTCGATGTAGATGCCAAGTATTTGTTCCCTCAAACTCATGAAAGTTGCAACATTTGATTCAACATCTATTTTAATAAATAAATAAAAGGTTGACTATTGGTTCAAAATACCAAGGATGATGACAAAAGAAATTAGTACCACGAGTTTGCAATTTCATAGGACGTCCCAAAAATAGAAATTGTTACAAATTCCATGGATATCCCAAGATAGAAAAGGTTGTGATTTTCATGGAATGGTGGGTTACAAGACGGTTCTTTCTTATCCAACTTTCTACCAACCAGGTGAATTTTCGCAATGCATTATATAGAACTCTGTATTAACTTGTAAAAATTAAAATCGACTTGAAGAGTGAAACAGAAGAAGATCTGAAGAGATAATTACCCCGGGCAAGGTACTTTTATTATGAAACGCATCCACGGCCTTGTCTGCTTCCTCCCTAGATGGACATATAACAAAACAACAACCTGATAATAACCGTCAATTAGGGTTTCAATCAACAAAATTCGCAACGAGTCAACTCAAATCTCGACATAATAAAGTTCAATAACAAAAAAACCGAATTATAAACAATAACGTGATTCACGCATTGTGATCCGGAGGTAACATTGACGAAAAACGTGAAGCGGAAAGAGAATCAGTGAAAGAAGATAATAAGGAATTCGGTTGTGAAAATTAACCTCGAGAAGCTCGCGTAGCCTTGTCTTTGATGATGTTGACTTCGTCCACAAGAGCAAACTCTTTGAACATTGCTATGAGTTGTGCCTCCGTCATATGCTTCGGAACTTGGCCGACGAACAGCTTCACACTCTCGTCGCTGTGTTTTTGCGGCATGTGACCTTCCGCCATTAATGCCGTCTCTCTCTCTCTCCCTCTCTCTCTCTCTCTCTCTCTCTGTGATCTCGAACTTTCTCTCTCTACACTTTGAGTCTTCGCTGGTTGGAGTCCTGTTTGGGGAAATGGGTAAAACTTTCTAGGAAAGATAAATATACACATTTGACCCCTACACTATCGCAAAAATACTATTTACCCTCAAATACATTACACATTTGATCCCTATACTATCGAATAAGTACAAATTTGACCCTTATTTGTTTTGATTATTTAATTTTGACCCCATTGAGATATCCTTCAGTATTTGCTTCCGTTCTTATATGATTTCTCATATATGTCGTGTCACCGGTTTCTTACCATTTCCAACCCAACTGCTGGGTCTTTACTGCTTTACACAATCCACCGTTAAATGTTAAAAAGAATCTCAACCGTTCATCTGGTTTAATAAATATCTGGTTTCATAAATATGTTGATTGTTTACTAATATAAAACGACGATTATAATTAATAATTTTAATCATTTTTCATAATTATTTAAATTATAATAAATAAATTTCATCATTTTCGTAAATGTTGATTTGGTTATAACATATAAAATGTTTGCATTTGATTTGCCTTATATAATAGGCAAATTGTATGAAAACAGTAACTTATTTTAACTTGATTATTATTTTGGGTAACATACGTTCAAAAGTTTCATTTTGGTATCTAAGATGTGAAATTTTAAACATTTAAGTAATTAGGTAACCGGTTACCAAGGATCTCGATTTTTACGATTGTCTACATATGAGGCGACGATTTTGCAACTTCGCCAGAATTCACATCACTCGTCACATCAGCATGGTAACCGGTTAATGCTTCAACAAATTACCCGGATACTTACATGTTTAAAACTTTACATCTTAACTAACAAAATAAAAGTTTTGAAAGTACATTAGCCAAAATAAGAATCAAATTAAAGTATGTTACTTTTTTCATGCAATTTGCTATATATATATATTGTGTTAATTTTGTTAAATTAATTTAGGTCTGTTCATTATTTGACATTCATTGAATGTGAGGGCAACCAAACCGATCCAATCATCCATTGGAAGTTAGATTTTGTCAACCTATCCGATTCGATTAACATTTGATAACCGATCAAATCTAATTCAACGGATGGTTGGATCTGTTCGGTTTCATCCATTGAATACTTTTATTGGATATCCAATGGATGATCCGATAGTATCGAATCCATCCAGTGTGTTAATTCAATCTAATTCTCTAACAATTATACAAATTAATTAATCATTTTTAATGTGTTAGAAGTAACACAAATGAAATTAAAAATTCAAAGTCTCACATACAACAAATTCTGATTTAAGTAATTTCAAAATAAATTAATAAATGATAGTTGGATAAAGGTAGAATGAACAATTGGATGGTTATCGGATGATTAGTTGGATGTTGATCGGTTCGGTTCAATTTTCTAAACTGTCATCCGAAAACCGACCGATCCAAATTGGATGTTGAAACTTTCAATCCAATCCAATCCAATCTAATTATGATCGGTCGGTTATCTGAATCAATGGTTTCAATTGAGTCGGTTGATTTTTTACGCATCTTTAAATTAAATATTTAAAAATATTAAATTTGTAATTTTTCTAAATAAGAATCAAGAAATGACAAATATATGATTAATTACGTAAATGCCACCAAAAGCTGGATATCGACAAGTTGGCAGTTAAGGCGTCTGTAGTATATTGGGTCCTATGGATAAAACAGGGTTAACGGAAAATGACGTCATTAATCTATAAATAGAATTCCTCTCAAGCCTTCATTCAATTACCTTTTTACTATTTTGGCAATGATACTAAAAAAAAGACCTTTAAATATCAAGGTGTTGTTTACGTAAATACTTACCTAGTAAGTGTTTAGTTATAGGAGTCAACACTATAATTTATTTTGATGAGTAAGATTTTAATTCATCAAAACGTATTGAATATAACAATTTATCGGGTAAGCGTTTACTTGGGTAAGAGTCGTAACTTTCACTTACCGGGTAAAACTCTCCATTCTTCTCGTCGCTCTTACCAGATAAGATTCTTGGGACTTGTCATGTTCATCCCAATAAGAAAATTTATTCAATAAACACTTTTCAAGTAAGCATTTAGTAAACGACCCTTAAATCTCATAAAATTGTTAATGGTAGCAGATTTATACGAAGTTAAAGCAGTTATCATGTATATTAAACATTAATTGGGTTCACGTCAGACCAAACTATTTTCGTAAACCCTGTGAGACCACATATTTACACTTGTAGAAAAATATGAACCTTCACAGCAAAAACACCGTAAATTTTACCTTCATTGTGAAGTTTCAAATGAAGTTTCACCGTAAAATCCCCTTGTGGACACGGAGATTCAAATGCGGTGACTCTGGGCTACCCGCAAAGCATGTATGGATGTGCATAAAATCAACCGATCCAATTGAAACGGACTGATCCAATTAGAACCGACCAGCCATAATTGGATCAAATCGGATTGAAATTCAACATCCAATTTGGATCGATTGGTTCTCGGATGGCAGTCCAAAACCGATCAAAACCGAACCGAACCATAATCATCCAGTTGTCCATTTAACCATTATCCAACTATCATCCAATTAATTTATTTTCAAATCGCTTAAATCAAAATCTGTTTTATGTGAGACTTTGAATTTTTAACTTCTCTTGTCTTGGTTCTAACACATTAAAAATGATTAATCAATTTGTATCATTGTTGGAGAATTAGATTGAATTAACACACTGGATGGATCCAATCCCAACGGATCATTCATTGGATATCCAATAAAAGTATCCAATAAATAGAACCGTTGGATCAGATCGGTTATCCAATGTTAATCGGATCGGATTGTTGACAAAATCCAATATCCAATGGATGATTGGATCGGTTCGATTTCCCTCACATCCAATGGATGTCAACCGATGAACATGCCTAAAAGCAGGGATTAGTCGGTTCATATACCCGGTTGGATATTCAGGTTAATAAAAAAAAAATACCATATTGTATTTCACATCATAATACTTATAACTATGCATAATTGAACAACTTATATCCTATAAACTATTAAAAAATACTTTATAAATGAAAATAACTCAAAATATTACATATTTTACTTGAAGACAAAATAAATTAATGGTTTTAAATGATAAAAAAATGCCATATTCCATAGTGAGTAAATATAATAAAAACAATAATGATTAATAGAATTTATTAATCTTGCATTAAAAAGCATCAAAATCTGACACTTTATTACTATAATGATTAATAGAATTTATTAATCTTGCA